GTGATTTAGGTGGGTGGGTGGTGTCTCACTCTTGCTCAGGCTGGTCTCAAACCCATGAGCTCAATCCACCTGCCTCAGCCTCCCAGAGTGCTAGGATTATAGGCATGAGCCACTGCACCCAGCCTAAAGTTTTTCTTTTTCTTTGAGCCAGTGTCACTATGTCACTATGTTGCCCTAGGTAGAAAGCCCTGGGGTCATAGCTCACAGGAACCTCAAACTCTTGGGCTTAAGCGATTCTCTTGCCCCAGCCCCCCAAGTAGCTGGGACCACAATGCCCGACTATTTTTGTTGCTGTTGTAGTTGTCATTGTTGTTAGCAGGCCTAAGCCAGGTTCAAACCCACTAGGCCTGGTGTATGTGGCCGGCACGCTAACCACTGAGTACAGGCACCACCACACCTAAAGTTTTTCTTTTAAAAAGTGCATCTTCATTACACTGTTCTTCACTATTCTATTAGATTATTTATATTCTATACACATTATTGCATTCAACTTTTAGAATTGTAAAAACAGGTGCAGGAATAAGTTAATCAGAAAAAGCACTACAAAGTCCACATAAAGGAAATGTCTTCAAATTACACAAATACTGTACTGTCTCTTTTAAAGTTAATTTGATATATGTATTCCACAATCAAGACACTATTACATAGCTTATCACATAAGATGGTAACATTTATAGACTAAACAATGTTTTTAAGGAAAAATTTTTTACAGTAGCCTTTTATTTTTATGCCTTGAATTCATAGGGAATCATTCCAGCAGCTCAGTCTCCTTTCCACTGGTTCCCACAAAGTGTGCTTCTCTGGATGGAGCAGGCTAGCACTTCAGCTGAACCCAAGTACCTTTCACTTTGGTTTCCTTCTTTTTCTCATCATTTTCCTTCACCTGTTACAGGAAACTATCTTGGGTCTTAGAGTACTTAATATGCTCAATATGGAAAATTAATCCTCTTGGCAAGAATCTTGCCCTTGTTTGTTTACAACCATGCCAACATGCTGGGTAACACTGTAGACTCTTCCAATTTTGCCATGGTGACAATTGTGGGGCATGCCTTTCTGAATGGTACCCATTCCCTTAATGTCTACAGTATCATCTTTCTTGTAGATTTCCATGTTAAGTGGCCAAAGGAACAACTCTATGTTTTCTAAAAGGTGTAGAGAACATGTATCAGGTGCCTCTCCTCTTTCTCCTTGTGTTCTTCATTTTGGTGAATTACTTGAAGATGGCCTCTGGACTGAAAAGTGTGTTTGAAATTTCAACCCTTTGACTGCAGAGGGCTCAGAAAACAAAAAGTGCACTGTTTGCACCCAAAAAAATCTTGTATTCAACACTTAAAGGGATTTTTTGCACCAAAGGAACATCTGGTTTGAATGTCTATAGGCACTGTTCCCAAGCAAAAGGTTAATAACCTGCTGAAAACATTTTCACAAAAAGCATACTTATCGGCTCGGCGTCTATAGCTCAACGGGCTAAGGCGCCAGCCACGTACACCTAAGGTGGCGTGTTCGAATCCCCAGCCCGGACCCGCCAAACAACAATGACGGCTGCAACCAAAAAATAGCCGGGCGTTGTGGCGGGCCCCTGTGGTCCCAGCTACTTGGG